CTCATCTCATAACATCACTACTGTACGTCAAGCATACCTTGGTGTAAATCGTCAAGGTGTGACAGCGGCTTAAATGTTTTATTTATGTTGACTTTGGTCGACATCAAACGTTTTTTCTTATAATCAGACAAATTCAATTTATGGATACCAGCGGTGGGGAGGGATTACCACATTTTTCGCACTTGGCTGGCCATGCGACTTATACTCTGGTGCGATATGTATACCTTTTGGTTTTTTTTCACCATGAGAGGGCGCTATGTAGCTTTGCAACAACATGTATTCTATTAATACCGCTGAAAGAAAAAACTTACCACAACAAACAGCTATGAATTATTTTCTCTCATAGCGTGATGTGATTGGCCTGTGGCTGCATAGCCTATTAGATGGTTTTGTTTTGCGTTTTTAAAATAGGCCTTTTACTTCTTTCAATATAAACTTTATTGTTCGTCTCTGTTGTCGTGATCTTGATGTGATTTATTTCTGCCTGTTTTTTTTCCTCCAGTTTTGTTCTTTTCTTCTTCACCAAAGGACCGTTTTTATTTCCGTAGCTGTTGTCTTTGGAGATTATTTTATTTGATGAAATATTAATATATATAAATATATAAAAGGTGCAAATTTTAGTCCGTTTCACCTTTTGTATGTTTTTTTTTTCGTTTTCATAATGCATGTTTTGACTGCTGCGACTTAAACTCCGGAGCGACGTATATTCCAAACAATACGGTATTACTGTAATACTGTTCTGCAGTATCACAACTTTTTATTTTCTCCATCCTGAGTTACTTAATAGAACTAAACATGCTTACCGGTAAATCATTTTGGGGTCATTTTGAAACCATGGCAACCTGTCCCAGCTGTTCTGAAATGACGCTTTAGTTTTCCTCTCTGGTTCAGTTTGGTGTCACTTTTTAAAGCTGCAGCAGAACTTTTTCATTTTGACGTTCTGAAATCTGCCTGGATCAATTTTGAATTTTGAAGTAAATGTTTCTGAAACATGGTAATAATATTATGATGAAAATCCAGCAGCACGTTAATAAAGCAATGCTAGTTCAAGAAATTAATTCAGAATTGAAGGTTTTCTTGTTTTGTTTTTTTGGTACCTACTGACTGGGAGGTTTAAAGCGTCTTTTTGTTTTCATTCTGCAGACATTTAATGCTACGTTCAGACGCACACAGCAGGAGCGGCAAAAACACGCGTGCTGCGTCATCTTTGATGACAGTGAGTCTGCTGTTCTGCTGCCTACTGTTAGCGGCAGGTGGAAGTAGATGTTAGCGTTTTTCACGTACGTAATCCAAGCTGCAGACACCAGAATAATAAAATTTGACATATTTTGCCGGCAGGTTTCTACATTTTAAATTAACTAGGCGTTAATAAACTGTTGCAGAGGAGTGATCATAGCGCTCTGCACTGCAAAAAATTGAAATCTAAGTAATTTTTCTTAAAAACCGTGCATTTGTTCTTGGATTAAGGAGGTAAAAGAGACATTTTGCCAATGGAACAAGACAATTTACACTTACATTTCAAGTGCATATTATCAAATTATCTTATTTTAAGCATACAAATACTCATTTCTTTGGCAAACTTTTCCATTTACCTACTAAAATTAAGGGTAAATATACTTAATTTAAGAAATTTCTACTTATTTCTAGGTTGTTTTTCCCAGAGGAGTGATCATAGCGCTCTGCATCAGCAGTGCTGCGTCTGACTCCCTGCCAGCTCCCAGATCAGCTTCTCTGATTGGGTGATGCGGCGCGTCCAGCAGCTAAAGTTACATTTTTCCAGCAGCTGCTGCTTCTGAAACGCCTCAGAAGCTCATGAGGCGCTGCTCCTGCTGCTTAAAATGCTGCAGGACCTTTTGCAGCGCCATGAGGCGCATCAACCATTGACTTTGCATGTAAACCAGCTGCTTCTGCTGCTTCTGGTCTGAACGCAGCTTTTTCCTTTTCCAGCTGGTTTCCTCCGTCTCAGGCTGAGGTGCTGCAGCTTAAGACTCTTCAGTTTCTGCCTGTTCTCCTGTTTCAGAGCCCAGTCCTACGCTGAGAGACTGCGACTCGGCCTGGTGGTGATGCACGGGGAGGGGCAGCATTCAGAGTCGGACATGGCAGACGGTCGGCACTCCCCCCCGCTGTCCCGGACCACGGCGGGACACACTGGCCTGGAGCTGCCATGTAAGGCGAAGGAAAGACCTGCGCAAGTGTTTGAACAGAAATACTTAGAATTGCAGCCATTTGGGGTTAAGCCCCGCCATCTCAGTAGCACGCCAAACGGGGCGTCGCCCATTTTCACGATTTGTCGAAGGAGTTAAAACCTGGTCGAATTTTTTTTTTTTCCCTAAAAAAGGCCTTAATGCTGCTAAAACAAATGAATTGAATAGTTTTTTCCACTGATGCTATAGATTAGACAGACGATGCTGTTTAAAGGTCCATCAAACATGGCGGACTCTTCCAGACGCCTTCAGGGCACAGATACGTGGTCGCTCCGCCTTTCATGGCTGCTAGCAACCGTTTTCACGTCTTTCATCCAGGTTGTCGTGACTGTTACAGACGCAGCCTAAATATGACCAAAGGCTCCGTAACAAGCAGCAATCAG